CACACACACTCTCTCTCTCTCTCTCTCTCTCTCTCTCTCTCTCTCGCACATATACGCACCCACATGCGCGTCACCCCACACCACCCCAACCCACCCACCGTGGCCAGCAACAGCAGCTCGTCGTCTGCGCTGCGCTGGAAGCTCGTCACCTCCGGCTCCGCTATCACATACGGCCGCAGAAAGTGGTCCCCCAGCGCCCGGCTCATCGCCAGCATGCCCATCACGCGGTGCGCGCCGGCGCGGTACACCACGCGGCCGCCCGACGCCTTGACGCGCGCCTGATGGGCGGCGGATGGGGAGGGGGGGATAAGAGGGGGTCTGAGCGCGCGGGGCGGGGTGGAAGCTGGTTGGAAGGGGGGGAGCAAGGCGCTGCGAGCTTCCTTCCACATTGCCAACAAGGCATAGGGCCCCAGCCAGGCCCCCGGACTGCTGGGTTCACGCGGCGCACAGGCGCAGTGCTGCGGTACGCACGGGCCAGGGGCTGGGGGCGGCCCCGACAGCGGGGCGGCGCGAGGGGCGGCCAACGGCGGGGGTGGCGGGGTGGCGGTGTTGGGGGTTGCTCACCGACTCGTCGTGTCGGTCGGGCTTGTGGTCGGCGGTCAGCGATATCGCCGCCCCCTTCCGCACCAGCACCGCGCGGCTGTCCCCGCAGTGCGCGACGTGCACCTCCCCGCGCCCCACCACCGCCACCAGCGCCGTGCTGCCGACCAGCTCCCCGACTTCTGTGCCCGACAGGTCCCTGTCGGCGCGCGAGAACGCGCGCTGCAGCGCGCGCCCGATCGCCTCGCAGCGGCGCTCGGCGGACGCGGCAAAGGCGGCGGCGGCGGCGGCGCTGCCCATGGGACTGGGGGGGCAGGTCCCGGTGGACCGCTCGAGGTCCGGCGCCGCCGCCGCGCCCGACGCGGAAAACGGCGAGCGGCCCGCGGGCGGCGTCGGCGGCGGCGTCGCCGCCGAGGGCGGCGGGTAGCCGCCGCCGCTCCCGGTGCCGCTGCCCGACGATAGGAACACGCCTTCGTCGGTGTCTGTCGAGGTGGGGTACCCGAAGCTGCCCCTGTCCAACGGGAGGCTGCTGCTGAGGCTGCTGCTGCACTCTAGGGCGTCGCACGCACTGCCGGGGCCCGCGCACGCGCCGCCCTCGCACAGGGCGGCGAGGAAGTGGCGGTGGAGGTTTTCGCGGGCGAATTCGGCGACCTCCTTGCCGCCGTGGCCGTCGAAGACGCCTGGGGGGCGGCGTAGGGG